AATTGATTAATTCAACATATTTATTGGGTTAACATCTATTTATACAAGAATAAATTTAAATTGGAGGAAAAAAAAGGCTTGATATGAGGCGAAAATTACTTAAATTAGTTTCAAACACTTAATTTTTATCAAATAAACACATTTTACATAATAATAAGGTCTCATAATATACATGAAATGCTAATGAAGACATACTTACATGGCTACATCCATCCCCCTGTAGAGTGTCGAGCAGGCTCATACATCGGTGTAGGCTCTGGGTAGTTACTTAGAAAAACTCTGTATGTGACATAAATATGATGACAATAGTTATTCCAACTCATATTATTACTATAATATGAATTATACTCTCTCCCAAACCTCTGGTAGTCTGCAACACTACATCCAATCTGTTGGGGAACGAATACAGCAGTCCCTGGGCAACCTTCATCTTGTCTATATGAGGAGGATGTCTGGGAGTCATAGCCAGATCCATAACCATATGTTGAGGATCTATATTCATATCCTCGTGTGTCATATCCCGATCCATAATCATACGAGGGAATGCCATGTCCAGAACCACAACCATATGAAGACGACGAACCATAATTATGGTGTTCACTTCTACTTCCACTTATTCTCATTGTAGAAAAATCATCATTAATCATATCAGCTCCATGCCAAATAGCACCCATACTATATGGAGTGATCGGATTTTGAGTACACTCAAGTTAACGATCTGGAGTTAATTTTGAGCATCGTTCATATTGAAGCATTCGTCGAGAGCCATGATCTTCATCTTGTGTAGCATGTGTAAATCCTTCATCTACAGTGAATACAATTCCATGTGGATTTTGGCTCCCCGTACCTCCATCACCAACACCTCCATCGCCATGACTATCACTATCTCCGCTGTCACCATCTCCACTACCACTACCACCACTATCTTCATCATCATTTTCACCACCATCATCATTGCTACCATCACCATTACGATCATCCTCAATACTACTATTGACAGTGATAGGTTGCTTATGTCTTGATGGACCTCTCATTAGTCTGTCAAACTCTTCATCATCCATTACTTTACTTGATCCTTCTCTACTTATTTTGGATCTTGATTTTCGTGGTGACACAACACCTTGACTTAGGCTTACTCCTCCATCGTCATCTGAAAAACAATTTGCCAACGTTGCCAAGAAAGTGTTTGGTCTTGTTGGTTGCCCATCATCATCAAGTTCATCTAAAAGTGCATCACCAGGATCATTTAACCACTCCGAAATACCTTCATCTTCCTCAAAAACAGTAGTTAAGTCTATAGGTTTGAATTTATACTCTTTTTTGTCCTTCATAAGGTATTTTAATTTCAAACTCATGTTATATTGTGCAAACACTAGCCTTTCTAACTTTTGATAATTGAGTCGATTTCGCACATTAGTATGAATGAGAGTAAATGTGCTCTAGTTTATATCACAACCACTAGATGAGTTTGTTTGCGACAATATTCTCATAGCAATCTTTCTCAAATTTGGAGCATCAGTACCATACATAAACCACCATTCAGCTGCATAATAATAAGAAACATATTAAAACCTTCAAGAAAAATATAAATAAAAAATCATAAGAATAAAATATAAGTGTGTAAATAATCTACTTAATTACCTAGATCACTTTTTGTTCTTCCTCTAATTGCTGCTTGGTTAGCAAAACAATACATGGCCTCCTGAAATATTTTTACCTAATATTTTGGATATATTGATGTTATATATTAATTTGGCACATTTGTAAACTGAGATTGAAATACTAAAGTATTATCTCTGCAAGTGTTTCAGCAGCCTTGTTTGGATTTGTCTCTAATCTAGACACAATGATTCGAAGCGAACCCAACAAACTTTCTAGCACACCAACATCTTCTTCATAATGGTATGTAGGGTTCAAGTAATAAGCTACACAATATAAATAATAATAACACTTATAAATGATAACATCCAAAATGATAACACTTATTAATAATAAAAATATAAATTGGTAAACAATAAGTTTATCTGCCATATGAATATGTTGAATGATTTGTTTTTTCCATCGAGCATCAATGATGTCAAGATATTTTTTGCACGATTTAGGGGCCACGTCTTTGACTGCTTGTTTTGCTCGTTTCATTTCTTCATATACATATGACATTGTTGCTTTTCTATCCTCATCCACCATTCTGAGAACTTTTGCAATAGGTGTATGCATATTCAACACATTTTTTGCGGTCTCCCAAAACTTAGGATTTAGAATTGTCCCTTGAACTCGTTTTCCAACTAGATACTTTGTTGCCGCAGTCCTAGACCAATCTTTTGAAGTAAACATCATTTGCAAGCCATTTTTCTACTCCAAAATACTTTTTAGGGCAATATAATTAGTGGCAAATCTTGTTTGCCCTGGCCGAATCAATTCCCCCGTATAAAATGTTCTCATTATATCCAAGACTCTATTATGATTATAGATAAAATTGGTCACTCTTTTAGCTTGCTCTAGCACATTTTGAACTATTTCAATCTTAGAAAAATCATGCAAAATCAAATCGAGAAAGTGGGCAGCACAAGGAGTCCAATATAAGTGCTGTCTTCTTTCCATCAACATTTTACCAGTTTTTTTGTACGCATAATAATCTGAATCACATATTTCTCTCCAATCTCCTCAACAACAGCATCCATCAACCCCAAAATATAGTTAGCATCCTTGTCATGGCCAGAACTATCAATGGACTTGTGGAAAACAACTTTTCCATCACAATATATTGAGAAGTTTGTGATAGATAATCTTGTGGTGGATGTCCATCCATAACACATGATTGTCACTCCATAAATCTCCCACTTCTTTTTGAACTGGTCAATGAACTCTTTAAGCTCATCTATCTCATTATCTAGTAATGGCCCGCCAATCTCATATGGGGCTGACCATTTCACACCCACTCTAGCTAAAGTAATTTTATCAATTATCAATTGGTAAAAATAACCTTGAGCTTTGCTTGGTGGAATATTTTCATAAATGAAAAACTTTGCAATAGCATGTTTTGCTGACTTTTTGGGATTCCACATATGAGTTAGCTTGGCTTGCTTCACTTCCCTATTCCGATACATTGAAGGATCTATCTCTTCTATTGGGAGATCTTTTTCTTTGTCCATCAATTTTTGTGATTTTCTTGAGAATTTATCCCAAGATTCATTCACACTATGTGACCGCATTAAACCCCTAGATGAACCACCTTTTTGGATGGATGGTCTAGAACTTCCTCCTCTAAAGTTTAGCTCGGCCATATGTATATCGCGAATAGATTGTTGTTTTGCATACTCAATATCAGCTCTATATTTTATATCCATATCATCATCTGAATTCTCATCGGAAGAATAAATTTCAATACCACTCTTCCGCCTTGATCCACCAATTAAATTCTGTCTCATTTTTCTCTGTTCATCGGTCACTTCTGCATTTTCAGTCTTGTTGCGACTCAAGTAATCCCTCATAGCTTTCGCAATTTCAAGTGGACATTTATCACATTGTTCCACATTATTATAACCGCCTGCCAAGTGTTGCTTTAACCGTGACATACCGCCACCCATCATTTTTTTATGGCAAAAATTACACATCACATGTTGTCGATTATCTCCAATTCGTTCGCCATAGTTTCATCCAATATCACGTTCTTTTTTCTTTTTCTGGGATGATTCAGTAACCACATTCTTCCCCTTTGATGTCATATCTACAATAAATTTCATTACATTATTAAACTCATTATATTCATTCTATAAATTAAATATGACATGTATAACACTTTTAAATTAAAATGTTATCCAATTAATAATACTATTTTATTATAATACTAACAATGAAATGTATCAAATTAAATTAATGATACTTATGTGTACTTAAAAATTAAATGTAATTGCAGTGGGTATTAAATGTAATTGCAGTGAGTATTAAATATAATTACAGTAAGGTATTAAATGGAATTATTCATGCTTACAGCAGTGGGGAATTAAATGTACTAGCAGTGGGGTATTAAATTTAATTATAGAGGGTATTAAATATAATTACAGTAGGCATTAAATATGTTTATGCATTATTATAACAAAAAAATTATAACAGGCAGAAGAACAGTGATAATTAAATGTAATTATAATGGTGTATTAAATCTAATTACAGTGGGTATTAAATGTAATTGATGTGGGTATTAAATATAATTATAGTGGGGGTATTAAATGTAATTATTCATAGTTATAACAAAAAAAATAAAAAAAAATATAAAAGCAGAAGCCCAGCACAATTCAACCACATGAACAAACCGACAGACAGAGAGAAGGGCGAGAGGCGACAACGGAGGCTTAGGCGATCGCGATGCCATCGCTGGAGAGAGAGAGAGAGAGAGAGAGAGAGAGAAGAAGAGAAGAAGAAGAAGAAGAAGAAGAAGAAGAAGGACATACCAGTGGACCGGTGGTTGCTCGTGGTCGCAGCGACGAAGACAGCACAACTCCCAAGTCCTAAATCTGCGTGGATAATGGGCGGATCTGCTCAAATCTGGAATCAAGGAGGTAAGTTACAGTAAGTTCTCCTTCAATTTTTGGTTCGTGGTGCCTTTCTCTCCCTCTTCTCTGTTTTTTTTTTTTGCTTAGGGTTGTGAACGATTTCTGAGCAATCATGCGATTTCTAACAAGGAATCTGCTTTTTGTCTTTTTTTTTTGACTTGGAGTTGCGAACGAATCTTTTTGACTGAGTCTCTCTCTTTTTTCCTTTTGGCCTAGAGTGAACCGAATATATCACTATATCACTGTTTCGTCGGAAACGGTCCGAAACAGTGCCGTTTCGACCGAAACACTAGAATTTTGTGTTTCAACCACTGTTTCGTGTCGTAGTGTTGAAATTTCGAAACGTTTCGGATGTTTCGGATGTGTCGACACGAATTTAGATCCTTGGTTATGGATGGATAAATCGTAATATATTGTTATGCCTTTGACTCATGTTACATGAACTTTGGTATGAGTGTTGAGTGCGGTTATGTCCTACACGTAAAATTCGTCTTACATTGGTTCCCTAGACAAGGAGGTGCAGCCATGCATATTTTCTAATATTTTTCATCTATGCCTTGAGGCAAAATGGTGTTCTATTTAACATAGTCAGTTCAAAACAAGGACTTTGCTTATTGAAGCAACTATGCAATTAAAGCAACATATAGAGTGCTATGTAGGATTGTGTATTAATCTTAAAGAATTCTTGCAAGGGTGTATCCAATATGATGTGCTAGAGTCGCACAAAGATCCCATACCCCTATGAAGTTGTTGGGTGGTGTGTGAAGTGGGTACCTAATGCATTTTGAAGAATTTACACAGTATGGCCATCAACATCTGTTAGTTGGATGCAAGAGGAATAAAGTGTACGTTGGATTGTGTCCTCGTCATTGGTTCATTGATGTATGCCTGTGAAAGAGACATGTTATTGGGTAATTTGGTTGAGTTAATTGGATAATTTGGTTGAGTTATATGCTTTTGCTTCATTTCTTCGTATTTTATGTCTACACTATTGATGGATCTTTGGAGATGACAGTAAAATGTGCTGGTTCTTATGCTTTTATGAACAATCTTGTTTTTTTCGTCAGTTTTAAGTTGTGTTCTGGAGTTGTAGAACAATTGACGATATAGCAGCCATGTGATGTTCCACTAGACCTAGTTTTGAGAAGAAACACACCAATTTAATGTTCGTCGTATTGCTGCTTAAGAAGGAACCATCTCGGTTAAAGCTAGCACTACTTGCATCTTGGTTGTTTATTTTTATAAAAATAATCCTCAGACGAAAATAAGGTGGTCTAAAGTGGTTACTTTCTAATGCCTTGTCTGCCTAGATCCTTTAAGAGTTGTTGTGCAGCGACTACATGATTGGGTTTTTGTGGTTTAAATGATGCTGTAGATCGGCTTTGGAATCAGAGGACAATGGGCTGGTAGTTTACCTTCTTTTCTTCATTTCTGGGAGTCCTCCAATAACTTGAGAGGAATTCATTCAGGCAAACCCTTTCTCAACTCTTGTTTATATTAGGCCTGACGTTTTTGGATGGTTCTCCGAGATTTAGTGCTTACTGGCCTAAAAAATCTGGTATACAAATCATATGACTTGAGATCCATTTTTATAGTCTCAGCATTCTATTGTACCTTAAAATCCTTTGAGTTCGATTAGTGCATTTTTTGGATGTACCTTTTTGGTACTATATTTGATGTAATTTCCATATTCTCATCTTTGACAAATACTTCAATTATGCTTGCAGATATTGACGTTTCTGCTGGCCAAAAACTGAAACACATCGGTAAGCCTAGAGAAGTTAGCTCATCTGCACACTCTTCAAATGAAGCATTGAGAAGTATTGGCTCACCAGGTGTGGTTTTCCTACGTACAAACTGGCAGATCCAGGGATACTTGCTAGAGCAAGCTGATGCTCTTGAAAAGTAAGTGACTTGTTTACCTCTCTATCTGGATGTCTCAGTGTTGTTCACTTATGAAGTACGGTGTATAATGTATGCAAAATAAATTTTCTTGGGGCAGGCATTGCAGCTCCTTTCCTCTAAATGATTTCGAATCAATTCTAAAGCAGCTTCAGAAACTGGCACCGGAGTTACATCGTGTGAGTTAGCTTGCTTATTTTGGTTGGCTCTGGCTTTTATTATTTTTGCATCCAATTAGGGAACAGTTTCACCTGACTGGAAGACTTTTTTGTTTTTGTCTATTTTGTGTTTGCATTATAATGCAGGTTCACTTCTTACGTTACTTGAATAGTCTTTATCATGATGACTATCCTGCTGCCTTGGAAAATCTTCACCGTTACTTTGATTACAGGTATATAGTACACGAACAGTACTCTGTTATAATTTTAGAATACTATTTTTTGAATTTGTGAAATTGATTTACTTAATTAAACACTTGCAACAATGTTGATTAGAAAGTCCAGAATTGCTGAGTTTGTCTCTAACGGAATTTTGGAGTTTCCGTCTTGGTTCTATCATGTGTCACACCCCAACTCCAAGGACATGACTGGCCGTGAACCATAAATCCATAACCTATGGAACACGTAAGCCTAACAATAAACTAATAATATAGGAGCAGAAAACAATATTAACACTAAATTGATCTCATGTCAATATATCAAAGTAAACATACCTAAACCTGTTTGTCCCAATTATCCAAACAAGTAAAGATGGCTATACGATATATGCTATGGAGGTCACAACACTATTAGTCCCCAATCAATTCCCCGAGTCCGCTATTAACACTCCAATCGTTTACCTAAAAAAATATTATTTTGAAAACATGAGCTAAAAAGTTCAGTGAATGGAAAGACATGCATATTCAAAGTGGTTGAAAAACATATTTGACATACTATATATAAATCAAAGGTTTGGAAAAATAACTTCATCAAGATAGCCAATTTCTCGAGAATAACATAATTGGATTCCAACAAGAAATCATACCATAATGATAAATCATATCATAATGGTGGAGACTGTACGATATCCAATAATCAATGGGAACCAAATATCAAATACAATAACTGACAACAAGAAAATACGTATGGCCTATGATAGATAATCATAAAAAAAGCTAGTAAAAATGTTGAGACAATAACAAATTATATCATCATCTCATACTGGTAAGGACTTGTACGATATCTGGGAACCATACCAAATGCCAGAAGATCTCAAGGTTGGATCCAACATCGTACTTAGGGTCACCACGAGTTGCCGCCCAGGAACTGTTCCTTAAGACGATCTGGTGAAGGTCACCAGGACGCACCAGGCACTGTTCCTTCAACCGTTGAGCACTAGGGTCACCTTAGCCTCCCCGGGTCTATTCCTTAGTGGCCAGGGTCACCTGCACAAAGAGGAATAATTTTGCTGGACTTTTTACCAAATGTTAGAATATATCTCAGGGTTGGATCCAACATCGTACTTAGGGTCACCACAGTCTCCCTCGAGTCTATTCCCTAAGACGATCCGGTGAAGGTCACTAGGACGCACCAAGCACTGTTCCTTTAACCGTTGAGTACTAGGTTCACCTCAGCCTCCCCTGGGTCTGTTTCCTAGTGGCCGGAGTCACTCGCACATAGAGGAATAATTTCTCCGGACTTTTAATTTTGGTCCCATTCACCATCACTAAGTCTTACCATATAAACAAGTGATTGAGTCACAATACTTCACAAAAGAATTCATCAAAATAATCAAAATCGTATGCCAGTAAAGCATTATTATAAAGGTAGCAAAGAACAAGCATGATGTATTGTTTCTAAAATATTTAGGAAATTTTTCGAAAATACATAGCATGCCAAACCACTCACCTCAAGTCCAAAGGAAATGATTTGTCACCCGATGTTGATTGAGAAGTTGTCGATCCCTTATATTGTTCTTCCACGGTTTCGTTTCTTCTTATATGAAGTATCCAACCTTCCTTCTCTCTCTCTCTATCTCTCTCTCTTTCTAGTGGGAGGTCACCAATATGTTTTCCTCCTAATTCAATAACCAAGTCCCCTATTTATAGGCCTTCAGGACTCCTAGGAATATTCTAGAATGTGGACATGTGTCATTATTTCCTTGGTGTGGGGAATTTTTCTAGATTCTCCCTTCACTTTCTTACTTGGAACTTTCTAGGTTCCAATTGTAGATATTTATACAATGGTCAATCCTCCATATCTCTAGAAGTCTCCATACTAATCTAGGACATTGTTGAGTACTCTTTATCTCTCTAAAACCTTCTAGACTCTTCCGGAATGCTCTAGGTTCCTTGATGTTCTAGAACCTTCTAGATGTTTCTTCAACATTTTAGATTGTTCTAGACTATTTTAGGATATTCTTGAACTTTCTAGAATCTTCTAGAACTTTTTAGAAACTTCTCAAACATTCTAGATTATTCTAAATTCTTCTTTAAAATTTTTCGTATTCTTTGTAAGATAATATTCACTAACTAGTTCCTTGCCAAAATGGAATGGGGTATTACAATATGGCTCACTGTTTCTACTCCCCAGGCTCAAGGATTGAACTCGCTTAACAGAATTTTTGCTTCCTATTTTTTTTTTTCTAATTGTGAAATTCATCATGACATTGTGTATGTTTTTACTAGAAGAACTTCTTGTATTTGACATCCCTCACACTGCTTTTTGTCGTTACTATTCATAACAATGTCCTGAAGTTTCTCATAGCTTGCTGCATGGCTTGAAGTTTAAAAAACTTTTAATATGAAATGTGGTGTTTGACTTGATTGAGGTACAGGATGCTTCCTGATATTTCCTCTCTTGCTTCTGTTGAAACTTGTCATGCATTTGATTTGCCTAAAAAAGGTAGAGGAATCAATAGCCTGAGAGACCTTGTACACACGTGTAGTGATCATCCTCTAACATTATTGTCATTAGCCTTCCTATTACATTTGAGGAGTTCTCCAAGACATTGTGTCCCACTAGAAGGGGCTCATAAGAATAATTAATATCTGATTCAGTTTGAAATTTTCATAAATGTTTTGAGGATCTTTGGAAGTCAAATGGGTGGTAGTGATTATTGATGAAAAATGACTTTGAAAATGGCTTATGATCTCAAGTCTTGTTGAACTTTGTCTTTAAAGAGAAAAAAAATTTGGTCTAAGTGGAGGCTCTGAATTTATGGGCCAACATTTTATACAAAACCTGGATGGATTGATCCGCCTGACTAATCTCCGTGATGAGTTGCTTGATAGGGATTGTTTAGGCGAAGTGGCTTTTCATATTTGAGGAGATGTGAATGAAGATTCTCCATGAGAAGCTGAGTTATGGAGAATGATTAATTGAGGTTTGCTGTTCAAGATTGTCAAGTATGATTCCAATGATATTGGGCTACAACAGTCGGACAGTATTCACACATCATGTTTAGAGCAGAGGACCGACTAAATGGAATTTGTGGGAGTTAAGGTAGGGTCATGTCTTGTGAATTTGTGGGAGACTAAATGGAATTTGTGGGAGTTAAGGCAGGGTCATGTCTTGTGAAGATGATAAGGATGATTTTGAAGTCACAAATCGAAATTATTGTGATGCTTCTTTGGAGTGTTTAGGGGAAAACATAAAGGAAGATACATCATATTCAAAGGAGGAATTGAGAGTTGCCAAATTTGATAGTTTTACAAGGGAAATTTAGGGGATTGTCACAAGGGAAATTTAGGGGTTTGTCCTTTGAATAATGCTATATTTACTTGGTCTAATTTGGGAGATGTTGTTTTCAATAACAGGTTGTATAGGTTCCTTTTTCTTTGGATTGGGAGGAGTCTTTTCCTAGGGTTAAGCAGGAGGCTTTAACAGGGTGTATGAGATCATGGTCCTGTTGTTTTGGAAATAATACATGGTTGGGTGATCACTCGTTACGAGTAACTTTAAGAATTGGTGGCAGGAGGTTGAGTTTCAAGGGTGAGAAGGTTTTAAGTTCATAAAAAGTTGGGATTTGTCGAACAAAAATTAAATATTGGAATAAGGAGTTGTTTGAGGATGCAAGGGTTGCTAGAAGATCAATTTTGGGTAGAATTGGGGAGTTGGACAAAACAAAGAAGATGTGAATTAGTTGAGAGTTTGAAGACAAAGAGATTAGATGTTAAAATTAAGTTTGAGGAGGTGGTGTTTAAGGAAGAAGCGAGTTAGAAGCAAAAGATTAAGGAGGGGATAATAATTTTGTATTTTTCCATATAGTGGCTAATGGTGGTGGAAGAACAAGAGAAGCACTAAAATTGGAGATTGATAGTGCTGGTGTTATTGAAAATGAGAATTGCATTGAGAAAGAATTATAGATTTTTTTTGCCATGCTTTATCGATATCGTGATTGTGATAATCAACTATTGGTTGTGTTGGAGTGGAACCTTATAGAAGGTCTGATGGCAAGTTGGTTGGAAAGGCCTTTTGAAGACAAGGATGGTGGAGATGAGGTGTTCGAGTGTTGTAGGGACAAGGTTCTTGGCTCCGATGGATGTAATATGAATTTTTCAAGATTGTTAGAAGGTTGTTAAAGGTGATTTGTAGGGGGTGTTTGATGAATTTATCCAAAGTGGAGTGATTATTCCAATGTTAGTTTCATTTGTCTTATTCTGAAAAAAGAGAAGACATATTAGTTTGGTACAAGTACATATAATGTGATAACGAAGGTGTTGCCAGTTAGATTGAGGTAGATTCTTGTGATATTGTTTTAGAAGCAGTAGGTGCATTTATTAACTAGACAAATTTTGGATGTTGTCCTTGTGGTAAATAAGATGTGGGAAGGGTATAAATCAAAAGGGAAGGAATGATTGTACTTAAAATTTGATTTGGAAAAAGTTTATGACCATTTTGACTGGGTGTTTTTGGACTCTGTTTTGGAAGCAAAGGTTTTGAAGATGTATGGAGGAAGTGGATAAAAGGATGTCTAACTTTAATGAATTTTATAGTGCTATTGAAAGCCTAGAAAGCCAGAAAGATTTAAGGCTTATAGAGTTTGCACATGGTTACCCTTTGTCACAATTTCTTTTTACTTTAGTGGTGGATGGCTTGACTATATTAGTTGGTAGGGTTAAAACATATGATTTGGTGGAAGGATATGAGAGTGATATAGATAGGATTTCAGTCTTTCACCTACAATTTGCTAGTGATACTATTTTCTTTTCCTTAGGGCATAAGCAAAAACTTATGAATCTTAGTACATTGGTGCGAATATAGTTATCATCAAAATAAGATTGAAAGAAATGCTATGCCCTTAGGTTTGTTTGGTTCTATTTAGTGTTTTGCCATTTCAGTAATAGTTTTCTTAGGTGATAATTTATTGACATTGAGTTTTTGAGATCCTTCTAGGGAGAAAATTTGGAAGATATTGGATGCGGGGAAATGGCTTGTCTTTCTTAAAGGGGAGGTTACCCTTAGTTTAGTTGTGTTGGTGAGCATTCCCATTTATTATGTCTTTTTTTCAAGAGGCCATGTAAGGTGGCATATAGAATTGCTTGTACTTCTTCAATTTACTCATTAATAAAATTTTGTTGTCCACTAGGAAAAGAGGAAAAGATGATGATTGATGCTCTGTGGGAAGGTATTGGAAAAGGGAGAGGGATCATTTGATTAGTTGAGATTTGGTTTCCTAGTCTGGGATTAAGAGTGTGCTTGGTGTAGGAAACAAAATTGTTAGGAATGTGGCTCTTTCGGAGAAGGGATTATTGAGGTTTCTTATGGAACAAAATTCACTATGGTATCTTGAGATTTAGTTGAATCAGTGTTGAATTAGTAACGACTTGGGGGTATCGACCCAACTTGGAGTCAAATCATTCTGACTCGGGGGTTAGAACAAGGCAAATGCATATGTATATGTTCTGCAAATGCCCAAAATCTCAAACGAGCAGCAAAAAGTCAAACAAAGGGGAAGAAGGTGAAGAAAAGTGGCAAGAATTATTGGATTGGAGGGACAAATCCAAAGAAAAAGTGAATGATAGGAAGGGAGGAAAAAAATTAGGGATCCGCACATGTAGAAACCCACATGCCACTCAATAATTTTCAACCAGAAATCGCACAAACCCACAACATCTCTGCAAATTTTCAACCTAAATCACTTTCGCTATTGCAATTATGTGAATGAATTAATGAATTGAAACCTATAAAATTGTATACAAATAGTATCCTTCTCCTCCTTTGCGAAGTAGTTGAGCAATAGGGAGGTGTGACCCAAATGATTCAATGACGAGGACTTTACAACTTTCGTTTCTCAGATTCTCTCCCCTCTCTCCCTGTGTTTGTATGTGTGTGGAGATGAAGGGTCTAAAACAAAGACTCAAAAATACTCTTCAGTGACCAAGACTTTTTAGAGTATACTATTTTTTGGTTTGGGCATGGGCCTTTTTATTAGTTTTGTGCACTCCAACAAGATAGTGCAACAGTTGAGATTTAAAACTTAAATACTTTATTTCACAATTATACATCTATAATATACGTCAACTTAACACATAAATATTTATAAATAATATATTTTGTAAGCAAAATATCTATAATTATGTGTAGTAAATGTCTTAATAGATGTTGTTTTCATATAATAAATTTTTTTTGTTATTATATTTAATAATAATGAGGCACACGAATATTGAAATTTTTTTTTGTTATTATGTTCAATAATTATACAGTTTTCCTTGTTGATATATTATCGAACTCATAATATTGAGGCACACATAAATTGACATTTTTTTTGAAGATTTCCAGTAGCACCCATAAATTCCATCTCCATTATGTTTAATGCACTAAGTGATGTATTTTTGTCATATGAAGCATGTATGTTGTTGTTTCTATATTTTAAGAAATTTTCATGATTTGTTTTTAGAATTTTCTGAACCTTCTGGCTAGCATTTTGTGTGTATCAGCTGATACTGTGCCATGACATCGCTGCCGATGTTGATGGTCGATACAGCGACCTAACCATGAAGACAATTGAGGAAACAATGAGTCGTAGGGCTATCCATCTCCTGCTCTCCACAAGCTATTTATCTTATATAGAGACTAAAATGCAATGACAATACTATCCTTGCTAGAATATCCTAACAGTAAGGAACTAACACCCCTAAACCTATCCTTAGCCTTTTTGGGTTTGTTTTCTTGTTTTTGATTTTTGTGTTTTCTTGTTTTCAGCTTTTATTTTCTTGGTCGAGGATCCCCTTATGTTAGATTTTAAATGCAACAGATTAGATGGAATAATCTCTTGCTTAAACTATCGTTCATGATATCCCTTCTTTCTGGTTTGCGATGTGTCTTTGCAATTCTTCAAACGCCTGTTGGAAAAAAGGGTCTCCACTACTTGGGATTTGGCGACATCTGATAGCTGTAATGTACCAGCGTACCATAGACTTATTTCTGCCGTATACTTTTTTCTTTGTCAGTTTTACTCTGGTATCCAACACGTTTTACAACTTCTTGAGGGTTTTCCTATGCATCATGATGAACCTTGATTCTTAAAAGTTAAATGATTAATGTGCACAAAAGAAATCCCATTACAAATCAGCTAAACTGAGAAATGTTGGTACTAAAGTGCAGGGACCGAAGGATTCGATTTTGTTCCGCCTTCACCTGGATGCAGTAGTTTTGGAAGATACGAAGTTGCTTTATTATGTTTGGGAATGATGCATTTTCACTTTGGGCACCCTAAGCATGCTTTGGAGGTAAGCACGTTGAAAGGGTGCGCATTCCATTCTTCTGCTCCCTTTTGCTTTGGTTTCCTGTGGCAGTTCTTAGACCGTAGTATGTTATTATCTATTTCGGTGCTAGCTAAGGCTGTTAATTGTTTTGCTTGATAATTTTCAGGTTTTAACTGAAGCAGTTCGGGTTTCCCAGCAGGTATCTTACTTAGTTAATCCCTTTGACATTATATGAATTTAGTCCTCTTCACTTCTACAGGTGGATGTTCTTATTTGTGCTACACATGTATTACCTTGTGCACTTGCCATATACCTTATGTATTATGTCATGAGGAGCCAAATGGTAATTTGGGATAGAATTCAAGCAAAGGTGAACCCACCTTTACCCTACTTCTGCACTAGTAAAGAAGCGTGATGGGATACCTATCAATGACAATGTGTGGGCAGAGGTAGAGACTAGGACTAAATTTGAGTGAGATGATGAAAAGGAATATGATAGCTTGCGTTTAACAGAAAATATGATGCTTTATAGAGCAAAATGATGAAAAATGACTCAAGTATTGGATTGGACCCTAAATAGTTGGGACAAGGCATTGTTGAGCCATATTTTAGTTGAAAATCTATTTGCATGGCTTGAGTCCGGGGGCAATGCATTTTGAGTTGATGTGGGATCTATACACTGCTATCAAATATTAGTGTGTTATGGCTTTAACTTGTTATGGTTTGGGGTTTAGAATAAATATCTAAGGTCTAGGAGTGTGAGAATGGTGGAATTAGTTGAGGTTTAATGCTAATTTATAGTATAAAATCAAAATAAAAAGCTGTCTGGGAATTCTTGGCACTGAGGGTCTGTTTAGCAGGAGAATGCTATAAAATACTGGAAGGGAATTTTTTTGGATTTTTCTTAGTGTTTGGTTAGCAGGAAATGGAAATATGTAGGATTGATAATCCAAGGACAAGGGATAAGGTGTAACAAGGCTTAGTGAAGATAGCCACATGCGGTATTGGACTAAGTGTTATCTTGCTCCTAATCCCACTTTTTACCAAACTCAAGATGAAAATATGGAGGAATAAATTGTTACACTATTCTGTGTTTTATCTGCCTATATGGATCTGGACTGGACTAAAGTGCCCAATTCCCCCTTCTGCGATTCTTCAAGCAGATGAGGCCTTAGTTGTTTATTTATTGTCATTTCTGAAGGATTCTTTATTCTTCTTCTCGTGTTCTTATTTGTTGCAATAAACTTCTGTCTTCTCTGAAATTTGGATCTATTCTAGCTTTCAATCCCGTCTCTTTTAACTGGAAAGCTGATTCATGCTAGAAGGAAAAGTTGCAAAGGGAAAATAGAGGAAAGAATGGCTAAATCCTCTTTGGGTCCTATGAAAAGAAGCATCCATGAAGGAGGCAGAACAAAAACTCATTGGGAAATTACTGAAGGAATTTCTTAGCAATGGCGGATGATGCACAGAGATAGGGGAATTTGTAAGTTGTTGTCCTCATAATCTGATGCATACTTGAGCTGCATGGATTGGCAAAAGGATTCTAAATGCTTTTGAGTTCACACAAGCACTATGGAGTTTGAATTGTCAGACTTATTTTAGGTTCCCAATATTCTGAACCAGATTCGACCTCCATTGTGGGCATACCAAATTTTCTTAATCACCGTCTTACCGAGAAAGAGAGCTTGGTTTAGAAACAACTAGGGATCCTGGTTCAGTTCATAGGTTTTAGAGGCTCTTGAGGTTCTGAGCAGCTAAGCCTGTAATAGTCCGACGAATCTTCATTGACAAAATGAAACCCCCAAAGGACTAAAAACATAAGCAACTAGAAACTTGCGCCCTCCAGCAGCTCCTACTGACCACTTTGAAGAGGAATGCTTGTAACTAATACCACATTCGAGTTCCCTATGCTCTCCTTTTCTTGACAGCAATCCAGATTTTAACTTGCGGGAATCACTTGGTTTCTTTGGGCCCTCCTAAAGACTTGTTGGCTTTGAAAATAAAACTGTGAACCAACTGAAGTGCCATCCTAAGTTTGGTTTCATCCTAGAAAGAGAGTGGAGCAGAAACTTTATTCATGAAACTTTATATCCCTGTTGGAGATATCTAGATGGTTCACCCTTTCTCTGGTGATAAAAGGGCGATGCAAAGAAATTTCAGAAATAAAGATTATAAGGTTCAACATAAAGGCAGTCCATTCCGAAATGGATAAGTAGGATCCGCTCTATTGCTTGGGGGACCAAATACAAGAGTCACTTGTGTTGCTGAGATGAAGGCTGGAGAAAAATAATTTGTTTCCTAAACCTTTTATTTTTTGTCCCCTATAAGTTCTTTCTTTCTTTGTTTTTTGTCTCACGATTCCCTGCAGCAAAATAATATGTAGAAATATAATACTAAAATTGCAAATTCGCAATTAGTACTGTAATCATCCTCATGTACAAAACACGTTGGTTTATTTTGTTTGCTAAATGTAAGTAATCTAGATAAATAAGAGAACATAAAGGGAGGATAGATTCTATTTATTCAGAAGAAAAGAACACCGCGTTGCCTCCTACCCCCATAAGTTTGTATATTTCCTGGGCATAGTTAAACTTTGTATGCTGCCTTGCCTTGCCACAGCTTCTCATCTTATGCCACCTATTTTTAACAGATGTAGCCTTTAAGCATTGTAATTTTGCGGCCATCATATTAAAAGAATTTTTTGTTTTCCCCTCGGTTTTGTGTTTCAGTGTCAGTGTCTTACAGGCCGATAATATAATTTTTCTGGAACACCAAGAAAATAATTAGGTTGGTATCAGGTCTGTTTCATCCTGCTTGGTCAAATACCTTGTCTACTATTGTAATAGGCCATTCGGTAAGCATAGGCCATTATTACTAAAGAGTCAAGAATAGGTGCTGTTGCTGCCACTGTTGTGAACGTTTAGAGCACTTTTATAGTAAAATGAGAAAGGGATCGTGCCCTCTGATCTTAAGTTGTGCCAGTATGGCTGAGACCTTATGTTGCCCCGTTGACTGAGAGAATTTGGTTATTATGTTGATTTGATCGAAGTGATATCTTTCACTTCAATTGTACCTTCTTTCCTTTGTTTCTTACTTTGATATTAGAGCACTGGGCTGAGTTCACATTGCGTGAATATTTGCCGGGATAAAGCTATTAGAGAAGGTGTAAAGTATCTGTAGTTCAACACTCCCCTCACATGTAGGCTAAATTTTGGGTTTAGTAAATCTTCAATTATTAGGGTGGAGGCGATATTCAAACATAGGACCTCATGTGTAAAATCTAGTGGCGATATTCAAACACAAGACATGCTACTTTGATACCGTGTTAAATTACCATTTGTTTTAAAAGCTTAAGTTATTAGAGGGAGTTTAACTTAAGTATTTACACTTTAACTATGTTGATTTGAAAGAATCAAAATCAAGCTTTGTTTAATACCTCAAAAAACAAAAAAGATGGAGCCAAATGCAAGTTGTTTATTTTGAATATTAGACAGGAGAGTCATGAACACTTGTCTTGAATGCCCACCTAGTGGACAAGCATGCCCACCAATGATCATCTTACATTAGCACCGGCACCCGACCAAAGTGCAACAAGTACAAAAGAAAGGAAAGAAGGCATCACAAAATTATTTATGCATCCAAAAAGCCCAGGGAAGACTACTTTTATCAATGTGGCCCTTATTAACAAAAACCATTAAGTTCTTGCAAAAAAATAAACCCACTCATGGACGCGGGCAGAGCATCACAAAGTTCCATTTCTTTGCACAGTTAATGTCTCTTTTGCCTTTAGTGGGTAGGCATTAGACTCTCTCTCTCTTTCTCTTGCTCTCCTTCTCAAGTTGGACCAATCTTGTCAAAGCATTTTAGTAATTCTTTTTGTCCCTGTACACAAGCAAACCTCCCATCTGACTCTTGCAAATTTCTCTCCTTTAAATGCAACAATACACCATTTGGTCAAATACAGTAAGCATTTGGGTGGATATTGGTTTTTGAACAATCCATTGAATTTGTTGTGTGAATTTACCTTTTTTGACTTGGATGCTAAGGGTGTCAATTGTTAGTGTACTAGTGAGTTTTGTGTCTCAATTCGCTACTCACAGTAGAAGAATTTTGCCTCTAAGAAATTAGTAGGCAATTATATGGACGCTAAAGGTTTTATAGATTAATACAGTGTTGGCAATTGCATAACTCATGTTTCATTAAAGAAACTGAAGTATGGTTTTTTCAGTCTAGCAAATATTTCTTCTTGATTTTGTGATTGGAAGGGATAGAGTTGTGGTTTCTTACTTGCAATTTGTTGATGATACTATTTTTTTCTAATTTGTGGATGAGGAGAAAGTAAACAATTTGAAAAAGATTGTTGATGATTTTGGGATTATTTCAGGGCTTAAGATTAATATGGAAAATAGTATTATTGTGGGCATTAATATTAGTCAGGATAAGATTGAAAGGTTGGCTCTCTAGTTGGGATGCTCAGTCGGTGATTGGCCTCTACAGTATTTAGAACTCCCATTAGGAGCAATCTAATGTCTAGGTCTTTTTGGGAGCCTATTATAGAAAAAGGTTGGGAAGAGATTAGATAGGTGGGAAAAAGCTCTTGTGTCTAGGGGAGATAGGTTAACTCTAGTTCAGTCTATTTTTTCTAGTATTCCTATTTATTTCATGTCTCTTTTTAAGATGTCTGTATTGGTATGAAGGAGAATAGAAATGATGATGAGAGATTTTTTATGGGAAGGGAGTGGGGAGGGTAGGAAAGATCACTTGCTTTTTTGGGAGGTGGTGTCTAGATTAAAAGCCAAGGGTTGGCTTTTGGTTGGGAATTTATTGAAAATGAATGTTGCTGTGGTTGGAAAATAGTTTTAGAGGTTTTCTTTAGAACAAAATTCATTGTGGTGTTCTGTTATCAAGAGCAAATATGGATTACAAGCTAATGAGTGGGATATAATAGGGTAGAAAGTGGTAGTTTTCGAATTCCATGAAAGTTTATTTATTAGGGTCACCTCTTTTTTCTCAGAGGATCAAGTTCCTTGTGGGAGATGGATCCAAAAAGGAGCTTTCTTTTTCCAACCTTTTTCCTTATCTGTATTGAATTTCGATGGGCCATGATCAAAAGATTGATTCTCTCGTTCAATTCTATTTATCTCCTTTATATTGGGATTTTGGGTTCCATAGGAATCTTAATGGTAGAGAATGTTTAGAGTAGATTGAGTTTCTTTCTTTGCAAAAAGATGTTTCATTGAATCAAAATTGTTTGGATAGAAGATGTTGGTCTATTAATTCTATTGGTGTGTTCTCGTGTAAATTCTTCTTTGAGTCTTTAATCGATGAACCCTATATTCCTTTATTTTGTAACGATCCATCCCAAATGTCAAGATATTGTCTGCTTTGAGAGTCTATACATCCTCAAGGTTTTGTTTTTCTAGAGCTTCATTCCAGAGAAGGCCTCTTGACAATTAAGAGTCAGCACACCACATATATAGCCCAGTCACTCTCCTTCTCGAGTTGATGTGGGATGCAACATATGAAGCTATAGCACCTCCTCACCTCACAAGGTCTTTTGGTAGGCTACTACACATTTCTTCCATCGAAGGTGATTTGGGAAGTTAAAGTGCCTTTAAAGGTACACATTTGTGTGTGGATAATTCCTTATGGCAAGATTAACACTTATGATGTGTTTCAAAGGAGGAGACCTTTGGTTTGTGTTCAACTGCAATGGTGTGTTATGTGCAAAAGAGATTGTGAAAGTTTAGACCATTTATTCTTACATTGCCCCATAACGTTTTCACTATGGAATATGTTGTTTAATAAAGAGGGTATTTGTTGGATGGCGCTAAGAGACATGATATCTATGATATGCATGGAGGTTATGGGTGGGGGAAACAATAAGAGGTGGAGGACTCTTTGGTTTGTGTGTGTGTGTGTTTTTTTTGCTACCATTGGGGTTATTTGGAATGAAAGGCATGCAGGAATTTTTGAGGATAAATGCGAGGAGGTTAATGTTCTTTGGGAAATACTTCATTTTTTGGATTCTTTTGGGCCTCTGTGTCAAAAGAGTTTGAGACCATTCCTTTTTTTTGCATCACTTCGAGTTGGATAACTTCATGTGGAATGTGGAATGTAGATTGTTTTTGTTTTGTTTTGTTTTGTTTTATTTTATTTTCTTTTCTTGTCTTTGGTTTGGACTACTTGTTCACCATCGACTTGTTTTTTTATTTTTGATATTTTTTTTATGTTTAATGATATTTTTGTTTCCTATATAAAAAAAAAGATTTCTTCTTGATGATGTTTTTTTTTTTTCCGGTGCGTTTCTTGATGGTGTTTAGGTAGGCTTAATAGTTGGACATTCACATAATGAAAATTCTACTTTTGGGATGTTAAAAATAAACAAAGAATGTTGTTTGAGACGTTATTTTTCTGTTACTTTTTGATTTCCAATTCTAATACTAATATCTTATCCAATTTGTGTGGTTTGGTGATTGCTATATTTGCTTCATTTGCCATAGCATTGTCTTGTACTTATGAATCAATTATGATCCATCACGTTTGCAGTAGATCCAATTCCCAACTATCTTCTCATCATCATATTTGGCCTCGTGTGATAGTATTTTTAACTCCTTTGGAACTTTGATTGTTTAACCACTCCCCCTCTATCCATAGAAGTTATCTATATCTATTTCCTTTTGTTAATTGACTTATTTAATTTTTTCACCTTTTCTTGCAGTGGGCATGTTATCTCTTGACTTTTTGTTTTTTTTTTACTATTTTTCTTTGATGTGCAGCACAGCGATGATACTTGTCTTGCCTACACATTAGCAGCCATTTGCAACTTGTTGTCTGATATTGGTATCTCAAATTCAACTGGAATTGTTGGATCATCATACTCATCCGTGGCCAATATTGGCACTTCGCTGTCCATTCAGCAACAATTATTTTTGCTCTTGACAAGATCCCTGAAGAGAGCAGGAAGTTTAAAGTTAAAGCGGCTGGTGGCTTCTAACCATCTTGCAATGGCTAAATTTAATCTACTAGTAAGAATTTGAGTTATTTTGCTCTTAGTTTTTTCTGTTTCCAAGATATTTTTGTTCTTTTCCTTGGGATGTTTAGATTGGACTGTTACATGTGGTTGTTCTCTCCATGCAGCTTATGATAATAGTAACACCAAGAATTGTGGTATTGTCCTCTAAGCTGTTTGTAGGAGTGTTAATTCAGTTGATCCTATCAAGCTTCGGCATGCTCAAGCTTGGCCTGATTTGTTGAAGGGATGGTTAAGCACGGCTCAAGCTCGGTTAGGCAGAAACAAAACCAAAATTCTTAATGACTAATACATCCAGAATTCCAAATCCACAAATGTTGCACAACCTTCACACATCCAAATCTAAATCCCTAAATAAAGCTAAATTGAATTTTGAACTCAAATGGCACTTTTGTTTCTCTAAACCAATATTGGGGCCGATTGCATGTAGTCGTTCCTTGCATCGTCGAAATTTTGATCCGTTGTGAGGAATCCTATTTGGTGTATTTGATCTGGTATGAGTAATTTAACTCGGTGTAATCGATATAGGTGAGTTTAACCCAATGAAATTAGTTCAATTTGGAGGTATGAAATTTAGGTGGTGTAATTATCTCGATCTAGCATAATTGATATGATCCGGAAAGGAAATCCGCACGTATTTTTTGAGCAATATTTTTTTTGAGGAACCTTAAAAATGTATCAAGGTTAATTAGGATTAGTTATTAAGTAGGAAACAAAAATTAGATTGTTAAAAAATTAAAAAAGAAGGAAGATTCGGATTTGAAGGCATTGTAGTCCAATTGGGTTGATGCTAGATAACTTGAAACACCAAAAATGTCCAAGCTATCCCATGCCCATGATTACAACACTACTTTGGCTATAAAAATGTAATTTCTTTAAAGCTTCAGTTTTTATTTGAAAGGAAGGTCCTTCTTGATGTTTTTGGGGGTCAAGAAATGCAAGCTGTGTTTGGATTGTGTTCCAAAAATAGTTTTTTATTCTCAAAATACTAAAAACAAGACAAAGCCTGTTTGATTAGAGTTTTCATTCTCCAATTTTCTAAAAAAAGTGGGAACTAAAATCTAATTTTAGAGAACAAGCTGGGTTTGTTTTGGGGTATTTTAGAGACAAAAGAATGGGAAAAATGGGAAACATGGCAAACAAATTGCTCATTAATGAGGTTTCTCCCTCAAACCCACTTAGCAGCAAAATAGGTCTCACTATAAAAGGTTTTTTTGTTTGCCTTTCTCTCTCCCCGAATTTATCTCTCCTTACTTCAGCAAAACCAAACTGAACGAGAACAAACACACAATGTCTTTGGGCTAAAGGGCCTTCTTCGGCTACTGGAGATCGTCTTCTCCGACGACTGAGAGCTCTCTGGCGAAATTAGAACTAATTCAAATTTGAGTTTTTTTTTTCAAGCGGCATCAAGGAAGTAGATCTGGGTTTTTTTCTCAACAGCTTCAAAATTTGCTTTAGATCTGGTTTTTTTTTTCCTCAGCGGCTTGCTTTAAAAAAAACCTTTTGTGTATTGATACAAAAAATACAAAAAAATTTCTTCAGTACAAAAATACGAAAACACACTTTTCTAAAATTTTTATCAAAAACATGTTTGCAGATGCTGCTTGAGTTCTTCGACTATGGAAGACAAAATTTTCAAGATGAGAATTCAAAAACAAGATTTTTACTTTTGAATCATGAAGTTTGGCGAAGAAATGTGGGAGATATTGAAAAATAATCAGATAAGGTACCTGCGGTTCAAAATGACCAGTCTAGAGGAAGAAGATGATGAATATGAGCAAAATCATCCCAACCACTCCCAACAACGCGTGAGAAATCCATTATGGGCGTGGTTTGGATGTCGTACTCTTTAATTATTCAATCTAAGGACTATTGTTAATAGGACCTAGTTACTTAGTTTCGTGATGATTCTAAAATATAACATCATATTGGTTTTGTATTGACATTATTCAATACCGAGTTATAGATTGATTCAGTGGCTGGTTTTTTCCTATTTTGAGGTGGACTCAGCATTTCATACTGTTATAGTGGTTATGTTAGAAATATTGTTAAATTGTTTATTTTGTTCAGGTCCGTTTATTTGTTACACTCTGCCATTTTTAATCCGGTTGTGGTTTCTGAAACTGTACTGATTGTGATATTTTCGATCAAGTTATGGAACAATGGGTTTTTGGAAATCATTTTTGATAAGCGTGGACACAGATTGAGCTTATGAATAACGTTGAGATTGTAGAGGGTTTCATTGATGAGTACTTGGTGGTCTAGTGGAATTTTTACTTGGGTGCATGTCTTCCTTCGTTGAAAGTCTCTCAACTTGATATTGTATTTGCAAAATTTTAGAATGGTTACTCATTCTTCGGTGTTGCATAATTGTTTAAATGCTTAACAAAAGATTCTTTTGTTTATATATCAGAAGTATATTTTCCGGATACCAGCAATGATATTTATTTTTAAACCTTGTTTATTTTGAAATATGATTTACCTTCTAAGCATATTGTTTACTTGCCCTATATTGTTTATGTTAGATGTTAGAATAAGGATATCCCTAAAGGGTGTATTGGTCTTTTGATTGTTTTTCAAATACATATATATTCACTTGAGGAGAGAGGCGTTGAACATAACTTCAACCTCTGTGCCTCTTCTTCCATCCCCCCCCCTCTCTCTCTCTCTCATTCTTGTCCTAGCCCAAAATCTCTCACAAAAACATAGTATCAGATCCTTCACTTTAATCGACTCACTCCGTCCTCATATTTCTCTTTTCTTTCTCTTGTATTTTCCTCTCTGTTGGAGAATTGGGTTGATTCAATTGTTGGTTGAGTTCAATGGACAATTGTCGCCTTTGTTTGTCACCCGCGACATGCCTCGTTGAGGTTTCTTGCTTTGTTATTCATTGGTGATTGAAGAATGGTTGTCGACAGAGGGAGTCGAATTGTGTTTGACATTGAAATAGTTGGATGTTGTTGCTAAAGTTGATGCATTTTTTTTGGGTGTATGTGTTGTTGTGAGTGGGATTGGTTGAAGTATGTCGCTGAGTGCTGCCGTTATCAAGTTGATTTGGGAGTAGAGTATAATTGATTGGGTTATTGAGTTATTCTAGGTTGGGTTATTCCGGGTCAAATTTTGTCTATTCCAGTACCCAACTTTGTAGTTGGACTCGGTTAGGACCACGGTTTCTAGTTCGAACTCAGCCCTACCCTGTCTGGCGGTTCAGCTCGTTTTCCGACCGGTTCAACCATTTGCAGGCCAGTTCAGCTCATATTCAGGCCGGTTCGGTTCGTTTTCACGCCGATTCAGCCCATTTTCAGACTGGTTCAGCTATTTTCAGATCAGTTCAGCTCGATTTCAGAGGGGTTCAGTACTTAACAAGAAGGATCAAAATTTTATTTTGGTGCATTGTTTCGGTCACCTAGGAAAAGAAAATATTTCGTCGTGTTTCGAAAACGTTTCAATCCGTTTCAAAAACAGAATGACAAAAAATTAAAAAATCAAAATTTTTTTTTTCAAAACATTGGTTGAAATATAATAAAATATCTTGAAATAAATTTATTGGTCGACCAAATAAATTGCATTTGTGGCAAATGAAGTTGTGGGGGAGTTGAGGGCAAAAGGAAAGGAGTATATTTTGTTTTAAATTGATTTTGAAAAAACATATGATCAATTGGATTGGTGTTTTCTTTCTGGGGAATGTTCATGGGGAGAACACACTTCTGTTGGTGTAGAGTATGTTGCTGTGTAGTGCTTCCTTGTTCAAACAATGGGGAACACATACTGGCGATCTGTTGGTAAATTTATCTCATGTTCGTGTATAAGAATGGAGGTAAGATGGACTTAATTTTTCTGAGTTTTTGTGATGATGAGTCGCCGAAGTGGGTAAGATTAGAGAGTTTTTTCTTTCCTTCACATCTTTTCTCCACCTTGATATTGTCAATAAATAAAATTATAAAAGTTATGTCCCGATTTGCAGCATGTCCAAAGGCCTTTGCTCTCATTTGGTCCGAAAGCTTCCATGAAGCTCAAAACATGCCCGGCTAATGTCTGCAAGGTAAATTCCAAATTAAGATCTTTCCCAAGCGATGATTCCAAAGTTCCATATCCAATTTTGAAGAATTTGACTGTGTCGGTGTTTTTTGTTTTCTGACAATTATATTACAGGAACTGAGATCAAGTTCTCAGTTGATAAGTGAATTCTGCACGGAGAGTTCTGTCATGATTACTGACGGCTCTTTTAGTGCCTCATGGCTTAATAATCTGAAGAAGCCAATGGGTTCGTTGGTTTTCTCTCAAGAAAATGGATCTGGAACCAATTCTGATGCTTTTCAGTTCTGTGCACAACCAAGCTCTATCCCTGGGTCTGTACTGCAATTAGTCGGTTCTTCCTACTTGGTTCGTGCCACTACATGGGAGATATATGGCAGGTTATGTTTAAAAAATATCTTGTCTTTAATTCATGTTTTATATTTAGTAGTTTACTTAGAATTTGAACACCTTATGATTACTTCCTTCTCCAATTTTCCTGTTGATGTAATGGAGTGGAGTTGGAGCATAATTTTAACCTTTAAGGTTGTATTGGTGGGCCAATATTGCTGAGATGAAATGCAGAAGAATTTACTTGATTGCTTATGTGAATATTGAATATGAGTTTTAATTTGGCTCATATATTGCAATTACTACTTATGGGATGTTATCTTTTAGTTTGCTGGTAACATCCATAAAAGATGTAGTCAGGAGGTAATGTTCAAAAATGTTGAGTAACTCGACATTAAGAGAGGAAACTGCAGAAATGATGTTTCTTCTAAGAAGGCCTAATCAGTTTAGGGTTAAATAATCCCAGTAGGGGCTTTTTACCATTAGTCATTTTATATACTGATTTGTGTTTTAAGGTAACTAGCAATAAACAACGTGCGTTGCATGTGAAAATTTTTGTTGAAAAATTTGATAAAATACATAAAAAAATGTGATTGTGTAGCTACATTATATATTATCTCATATTTAACATACTTAAATTATTTATATTCTCTTCATAACTATAAACATCCAATAGACTAATTTTCTATGATTCTTTCATTCGAGCTACCAAGTAGTAAGCTTTATAGATTTTTCTTTTTTCGATCTTTTTTTTTGTCTTTCTTGTTTTTACTTTGTGCTTTAGTAATTTTTTACTAAATTATTTTGATTGTGAATGGAGAGATAAGATAAATATATTTGTTTTTAGGCATTAGAAATAATATTGTATCAATAGAGTTGTTAACGTGTATTAATATTGAGTTTTTGAAAAAAAATAAAAATATTATTTTTAGATATCATGTTAAGCATAACATGACCATTCAAAAGTTTTGCAAAGATAGATAGATTTGTATGATATGTTAGAGATTAATTTGTTATTTAAATACAAAGGAATATAATGATAATTTATATATTTAAATACAAAATGATATATTAGCCTTTATAGTATTTTATAAGGGCAAATTAGTGAATCAAAAGTTTTCGTATTAAGGTACTTTTATTAGTAATAAAGATAGTTGTCAAGCCTAGCTAGTAATAAAGTTCAAGCATGTTGCTTAAATATGTGTTTGCTATATCTTGAGTGCTTTGAAGGTATTTATGGCTTAATAATAGAGTCAAGTATAAGTAATGGATACATGGAGAGAACCCTAGCTGGTCTCTCTTCAATTATACACACTCTCTCCGCCGTTCAATCATAAACCGTTATCTCATTATCTTTGTATTAGAATCTGTACGAAGAAAGTGTTGTGGTCTACATCTGCCAAGAAAAAAAGACAGGTCGGTCGACTTGGATAGTAGTAATACCCAATATTTTTTAGTTAATTTGAGTTTATTTGATGCATTTTATCAACTTGTCTTTAATTTTCACAATTTTGGGGCGATTTATCTGGACTTCGCTCCCAAGCCTCCTTTTTTCATAGGAATTTGGACCAGGGATTTCAGGATATATGCAATAAGGGTGACTAGTGGTTTTCAAGCAACATTTGAGGAGATTAAAGGCAAAAAAATGGTGTGTTGTTTTAGTGGTTTAGATAGTGCTGTAGTCTTGTTTGTGTGATATTTTTGGTTCTGTTACGACTCTCCAATCAGATTGATTTGATCTTCTGAAGCAGTGGTTTGTCTTTTCCTTTAAATTGTTGTTTTTTGGATTTGAATGGCCATATGTTGGCTTGTTGGGAGTCGTTTGACGTGTAGTCTAGGAGTCTTTCAATATGTTAGAAGCAATAGAGGTCACCCAACACCAACAAGGCAGTAGGCTAGACTGGAACCTCGAATGAGAACCCTACTCTCCGAATCACAACTGTGAAATTGGGCGGGTGTATTTTCCTGGCGTTATTTGCTTAGGTGAAGCACTTTTTTAAAGGTAGAAGAAAGATCTGACATTTGAATGCTAAGATCAAGAACCATCAAATGATGATTTTTTGTTTGAGAAGGGGGAAGTAAAAATTCCAAATTTATGTCTTGGCTTTTGCATCCATTAATCAGACCAGAAATTAGCAAGGGTTCTTAGTTTTGCAGACTGCAAAGAAAATTCAGGATGCAGTCACATAGGCATACTCAAAGATGGGAAACATTGTTAAAATTTATGAATTAAGGTGTCAGATTCACAATAGTACTAAGGGTGATAAGACTATTTTTGTTTTTTTTCACACTTTCTTGGGTTTTGCCAGGAGTCAAGACCACCATCATAATTTTCTGGTGTATGTTCTGTAGATGCTTCAAAGTTGCATCGGATGGTTAAGCAAGAGTGACTTTTGAGTTTTTGATTCGACTCAATTCTGAGTATGGTCAGGTCTCTCTTCAGATGTTTGTCACGTAGCCTCTTTCTTCCCCTATGGTTGCGTATGCATATGTGCACTGTGAAGAGAATGTGTTGATGCACTTTGTTGCACAGGAGAAATCTGCATTGATTACAACTTTTAAATGAGATAACAGAGGGTTCAGTGGAGTTGGGATGCTGTTAGGACCATAGATTCCCCCTCTGATGATAATGACAGGTCTGTGCTGTGATTTCTATTACATGCCACAACACACTCGAGATATCTATTGGAAACCTAACTGTTGCTGTCCATCTAGAACTATAGGGGGTCATTCAAGCAGTATTTTCGCCATGTGCTCAGTACACTACTATAGGCGAGCCTACTAATGCTATTACCTTAACTCCAGGTCCTTCCATATAGGTTGTGGACAGGAGGGGCAGAGCTAGCTGCCCCCACTGGAATTTTAAACTTTTTTTGGATGTAGGATTTTCAAAATTTTAGGATATTGCCAATGTTCAGCTAAAGATTTATCACCTTCTTTGGCATTAAACATGCACTTGAACACATTTTCTTAAGAGGGGTCCCTATATTCTTGGTTGTATGAAGCAGTTGGACATTGGAGGCCACGCATGGTCCGATACTAAGCCACAACCAAGTCACGACAAAGGATTATTACTCCACCAATCTTCAGAATTTTTGATTTGGGTGATTAGCTAAATTCTTGATTTTCTTCTTTGCACATGTGAAATCTTTACTACTATGAGAGAAGTAATTTGTCTAACTTGATTATCTATTGGATGACTCTTGACATTAGCGGAGGTTGCCATCCAGGAGCCCATAATAAATTATTTACCAGGTATGAGAGGACTAATATGATATTCCAGAACATATCAACATGTCACACCCACACACAACACAAGTAGAATCCGAGCCACTATGAAATCCACACACAACACAGGCAAAAATAGCCAGAACAATCAGTCACGTAACTGTAGAGTTAAACCATTTGTCACCTAGGAATACTCGTAGGTCAACCAAACAGGTATGAGTTGGTGACTGTCCTTAGGTCTGAACTAAAGCATCAAAAACACCGATTTAACTTAAAAAATTAAAAAAAATCACGGTAAATACCAGTATTGACAGTTGATTCTAGGCATTGGTTCATCTTGTCAAGAAAATTTGATGTCACGCTGACGATTGCATCCGCAAAAATAGGGTTTTTGTCTGAATGTCTTCGCTCTATTTGTTCAATGATGTTTTGCCTGATAACAAGTAGAAACTCGAATAATTGAGTAATGTTAAGTTTTCGGTTCACACCATTAAATTCTTTTTGTAGATTCATCTGTAATTCTTTGATCTCCCGCGGTTGACTTTCTATTAAAAATTTTGAGAATCCCATATAGATTATGATCTGTATCAGATCGATCCTTTTTGAATTTCTATACGTGTAATTCCCTCGATGCCAGATGATATTTTGCTATTTTTTTGTACATAATTCTTGATACAATCTCTTATTTTTTGATCTTCTTGTAGACCTTTGGAATAAATTTTTGGTGAAGTCTGAAACCAAGTGGATTTATTTTTTGTCCCATACTCCCTTATTACTATACATATCATGATACACCATAGCTACATACTTCTTTTTACATCTCGGTTTTTTTGGATTGTGTGAAATAGTTTATATCTACATATTCATATAAGGATATATCCTTCACTACGATAGTTTTTTGGTAGGTATGTCTTTTTATTGAGCTTGCGGTTTTAATTTCTTTACGGTAGTACTCTCGTTAACTTTGACTTTAATAATAACTAAATTTGCTTCGTTGGAATTCATATTGTAATTAGCATTTGCTGCTGCAAAATAAACCAATTTAAAAGTGGGATAACATGCTTGATAAGACATGAGTTCTAGTTTCATAAGTGTTTTTTCGTAGGAATGTCAACGAATTTGATCAACTACTCTTCGTGCTTTGTGAGTAGACATAGATATATGTTGACCTAAAGCTTATACTTTTGTTTTTCTCTTTTTTAACATAAATTTGTCGCCACCTGCTAATGAATGATAAGTATCTAGATAATTTTTTTTGTTAACATTTATTAACGACAAGATCTATTATCACTTTTTCCATGTCTTCGAAAATGTAAAGTAGGTGCAAATTGTCCTAATTTATTGCCTACCGTGCGGTCTGTTATATAAATAGGCAATTGTTCCTTTCCATTATAGATATCAATAGTATAGCCGTTCATTGTGCGTATAATGGTAGATGCCCGGGACCAAGTTACTATTATTTATTTTTCTGTTTTTGTGTTAAGTTTCTCAATTTTTCTTAATAAATGATTTGAAGGATTTTTTTTAGTGAACATGTCACAGCTTACTCTTATTTTATTTATTTTGTTTTGTAAATGTAAATACGAAGAAAGAAATTTTATTGCCTATTTATTATAGTGACGAAGAATCTAATTATCACTATATTTATTTCATTTTCTATTTCTTCTTCCAAGTGCGGGATAACTCCAAGGGGTTGTGGATTTTTTTCTACCAATTGGGGCCTTCCCTTCACCATCCCCATGGGGATGGTCTACAGGGTTCATAACTATTACGTTGACTATAGGACGCTTATCTAGCTAACACTTAGATCCGGCTCTACCCTAACTTTTTTGATTCACTCCAACTTTCCCCACTTGTCCGACTGTTGCTGAGCAATTTTGGATATCAAACGGACCTCCCTAGAAGGTCATTTTAATGTGGCTGATTTCTCTTCTTTTGTAATCAATTTTGCTACAGCACTAGTTGCTCTAGCTAATTGTCCACCCTTTCCAAGTGTAATTTCTATATTATGTATGGTCATGCCTAAGGGCATATCGGTTCAAGTTGATTCTTCTTTTTAATCAATCAAAACTCTTTCCCAAACTATACAAGCTTATTCCAAAGCATACGACTTTTTGGATGTCGGTGATGATATCTATATAGATGGATCTTATATATATCGTATAATGAAGTACCCTATGGGTGGATATATAGGAATCCAAATCTGCTGAATCCTTCATGTAATGATCCTCTACATCCTAGGTCTTCCCGTTCTGTCATTTGACTTATGTTCTTCATGTAGCATTTAGACCGAATGACTTTATAAAATTACGTCGATACTTCCACATAAAATAGGTAACGTAGGAGACACCTCTATTTTCCCCCCAGAAATCTTTGGAATTACTATTGCTTAGCTTTCAATTCGTTTCTGACCTTCAAATGAATTGTGAACCAATTTTGTCTGTCAATGCTTGAAACAATTTTGTCTTCTCCATATTACTATATCTCTAGAGTCAATAATTTTATATGAGGAACTACTGAACTAAATCACTTGCTGTTGTTACTCATCAGTTTTCTGTTGAGGTACTCAAATTGGATCAGTGATCGATTTCTAGGTTTCGTTTTAAACCTAATTGGTTATTTCCAATTACGTAAATTAATAGTTCAAACCGCACTCAAAGGTAGGGCATTTCCATTTTATCGGAACTTCTGTACCAGAAACAATGGTATCTCTAATTATAGTTCCTCTGGGATGTAAAATATATCTCTTCTCACCATCCCCATAGTGTATGGGACAAATGTATGTATTTCGATTAGGGTCGTATTCTATGGTTATGATTCTACCATATATGTTTTTTTCATTCTGTCAAAAATCGATTTTACGGTATAGATGCATATGACCTCCCTCTTTATGTCTTGTGGTAATGATTCCTCTGGCATTACAATCTTTACCACAACGATGTTATCCATAGATTAAATGATTTTGTGGATTGGATTTCACTTGACTGTCTATGACTCCATTGCGTGTGCTCGGGGTAGAAGTTTTTTATAAATATATCGCTATGCGATTAAGTATTTTGATTTAAGTCATTTTTTTCTAAGAGGTGGAATAGAATAACCCGGTTGAACGTAATGATCATTTGTCTATAATGCATTGTATGTCCCATAATAAGTCCCATTCTTCTACCCTTTCCTAGAAGTCAATGACTATTTATAGCTATTACCTTGACACAAATAAAGAGTTCGACCCAATTCTTTATTTCTACCCTAGTTGATCCTGATTCGACATTTGAAGTATATTGATTTTCCCCTATAGCCGAATACTTTTGTCAGTAAATACTGTATATTTGATTCAATCCATAAATCTATTTTCTTCCCTATGAATTCGAACCTACGAATTCGCTAATTATGAGTTGGGCGCTTTAATCATTCAGCCATGGATGCTTAGCGGGGATCCTCGTACATGGTGAATAACCAAATTCCAATTGAAATGAAATCTTTAGAATATATTAATGCAATTTAGGAGGAATCAATGAGAGGACATCAATTCGAAATCCAGGATTTGAATTCCAATCAGTTCAACATTTGAGTTGGGTCCTTGGGTTAGACAATCCAACCTTGAGGGAAGGCACCGTAGCAACACTATTTTACTGAACTTAGATATATGAATAATTTAATCCATCACAAGGAAATTGTCAATATTAAAATAATTAAATCCAAAGTGTAATCCATAAGTGGCAAATTCTGAATATTGGAATCAAATTTTGTAGAACAATCTTAACTAAAGCATACTGAAAAATTTCAATCCATCAAAAACAGGCAAACAGATACAAATGGTTTGTGATGTCAGGTGATATTTAGGCCGACAACTGAATCATAAGCCCTGAGTTGTCGCGGTCGACAGATGAGGTAGAGAGGAAAGGTAGAAGCGGAAGCGGATGAGGATTGGACTGGTGACGTGGTATGTTTTTGCAGAGCGAATAGGACTTAAGAGACTGAATAAAGAGTTGGGTGATTAAGTGGTATGAGGGAATTTTAAGTCTAATTTTTTGGTCTATGAAAGAATTCCATTTTATTTTCAAAATATAAAACTAACCCCAATTATCTTGCAAATTTCTTAGTGGAACAAGTTTGTGTTATCACAGCTACAAGAATGGGGCATTTGTCATACTCCCAGAGAAGCAAATCAAGTGGCACAAGAATTGGCAAGATGGGGCCTATCTTCAAACTACCAAGGATGCTTGACTGAGTCACAGCTATCAACTCCAGTCAAGAATAGAGTGACCCAAGATAGGGACCTGTTAGAGTCGAAATCCCTTGTAGGTTTACATTTATGTCTTTTACTTTCACTAATTACTAGTTTCCTTTCTGGCTCTTGTACTCTGATTTTAACCAGCAAAAAAAAAGTTTTAAATAATTATTATGCCTCAAATATCAAATAAATACCAAAAATTCTCAAGTTGCAATGGAGTAGCTGCCCCATTTGCCCATGATTTGCCAATGATACAGAACTGAAGAATGGTCAAGTTCTGGATGAAACTGACTGAAATAGGCGAAAACAAGGGCAGAACATACATCTATCTTCTGAGGTGTAGATTCTCGGAACCTGTATCCAGACACCCTCCCCAGTGGCCTGTGATTTTAAGCTGCTTTTCCTCCTTTAACCATTCAATCCATAACCAACTCCTTTGATGCTTCATCCCAATCAAACCAGACAAGTTCCATCACGAGCAGGCACCATAGATTATTTTCTTCAACTCAACACAAGTTCCCCAGCTAGAAGTTTCTTGAAGAGTCAACCCTTAGGTGCAAACTAGAAGTTGAAGTATGAGAAAAGGTAGCCAGGGTTTTTGCAACCTTCAGAATGAACAAGAGAGGGCTTTGAAGTGTTTAAGAACAAACTTGAAAAAGTTTGAATCTTAAGACAATTTAATTACAACAACTTCCCCATTACTTAAAGCATGACATTTGAACCCCCTTAAGGTTTATGTCTAAATCACACTTCACCTATGCATATGACATAAAGCTTAACCTATTAGAGAGGTGGTTTTGAAACAAATGATTGGAAGGCTTGTATCAAAAAGCCCACTCGAATGCCTAACATATGAAATGCCATGCCTTTCAGTTGCTTGTAATAGCAATTATCAATAGCCACTCTCTTGTTGTTGTATCGGAACTTGATCCTGGTTATTAATTGTCCTTCTTCCCTTCTTTAGTCATTTAAATTCTACTTTGAAATCAACCTATGCCACAAAGATAGAAAAGTTTTGTGGGATTTATATGTATTAAAATACTCATTTTCTTGCTCCTTGTCCTTTTATGATTAGCTTGAATCCTCTCCTTTAGTCTCTAATGCTAATGAGAGTCTTGGTGTTCTTAAGTTGTTTTTTCAGTTTTGTCTATCCTGATTGGGTTACGCTTTTCAACTTTTTACTTTCTTTTTCAGTGCACCACTTGCGCGGATAAATGCGCTGGTTTTCACAACTTGCTTCGCCGACTCATCTAGGTAATTATAGCTCAAATAAGACCATATGATATCCTGGTGCTTTAGCCTTCCTTTTTCAATACGGTGTATGCAATTTATTTACCTTCAAATTAGCAGTTTCTTATTTGCCCAAAAAAAAACAAAATATATTAGCATTTTCTTTACTTCTACAGTTCTGCTGATGTTGCATTGGCACATTCCAAGCTTATACAACATTTAGCAATATATAAAGGATACAAAGGTCAGGTTAAATATTCTAATTCTTCAAACTCTTGCAGCATTGCTATTAGTGTATTATATCTTGGATGAACATGTGTTGCCACCTAGAGTTCATGTAAAATTCTCAAATTCAGACCTAGTAGATGGGAGTGTAATTATGCCTCCTTGATATTTCCTAGTTGTTATTGTGGTGCCTTATGTCTGGAATCGAATTTCCTTATTTGTTGTTATTTATTAAAAAAAAAGTCATCATGCTCCTTTGCTTTTTTTTTTTCCCCCTATTTTGAATTATTTATGCTATCAAAACTTATAGGTTAAACATTTAATTGGATCGTTAAAGATTTAATTTGATGAAAGATTTTAGTTTCTTTATTTCCTAAGGACTCACAAGGGACATATTTTATGGTGAAAGTCGTCAAATTGTTTTTTTGTTTTTCCTGTTTGTGCTTGATGATGATGTCGTATACTTGTTTTTGTTTTATTGTGTGATGGTAATTGCCAAAATTTAATATTCCCTTTGGGTAAACTATTACCTTTGAAAACAGGATGAAAGAATGTGCATGTATGCTTTTCCCCCCAAAGTGAGGGATGATGAGATGCGGACCTCGACCTCTTCTTCCTATGGCCTTAAGTTAAAATTCCTTTAGTTGTCAAGCCTCTTTGGAGAAAGGGGTCTTGTCAAAGACTTATTTGCTAAGCCAAACGAACTCATCAACTTGCAAGAAAAGCCCTCTGGTGCAGATCGAAGCAACAAAACACTAATTTGCATGAAATTAATAGATTAAAAAATAGGCCCTATTTTTTCAAAAATCTTTCAAAATTAGCTAACCCTTTTCAGATGGCTTCAAAAAAAAGTAATCAAAAACATCAAAATTATGAGAATGAAAAAAAAAACAAGAAACAAGAATGCATTCCAATGATCGAAAGTTGAGGGTGTCATGATGACGCCGACATGAGTCATCCATTGCAATGACGTTAGGGGTTAGAAAATTCTCGGGAGGTCTTCTACTATGTTTTTCGATGATATGCAGTGTCAAATTGCTTCTTTAATACCCTGATAAAACTATAACAGCGATACTAGGGTTGAGAAGAAAAAAATAGTCTTGAAGAAAGAAGAAAAGATAGAGAATAATCAGTTATGTTGGTTGTGTTGCTCTACACTCTCTTATTCATATTAGACTAATATTGTGAGGAATTTCAATAATATCGTACACTAGTTTATTGGGAATAATAGTGTAACAAGAAGAACTCTAACACTGAGCATAAATTTTTATTCAAATTAGCGATTGGAAAACCAATAGTTCGGGCTTGGCTCATGTAGGGTCATTTTTTGATACAAGCTCAAATCTGAGCTCAATCTCAAGCTTTTGGCTCGAATAACATTTCAAATAGAAGAAGACAATTTTCTATGCCAATCACTTAAATTCAATCCGAAACACAAACCTTAACTATAGAACCCCTAAATCACAGAACCTACAAATCAAATACACACACACACACACATATGTAACTTGGGATGAGTAAAACCTGAAATGGAATGAGAGTAAGGGAGACCAAGAATCTAGTCTATGAAGGAGAGGCAGAGGGTGGATGTAAATGAAGATAGAGGGGCGAGAAGTGAGACTAAAACAAGGAAAATAATTCAGTCTTGGAGTTTATTGTGGTGTATGTTGCGCGCTTCCCCGGGGGGGGGGGAGACATGTTCATGTGATGGCATTGAAAATTGATATGCTTTGGCAAACGTTGTAGATAGTTGTTTTAGGAGAATAGCCATGAAAATCCTCTTTATTTTCATTTGTCGATATGTTTTGTGTAAAAAGTAATGAGCATACTGATATATGCATGACAAAGCAAGCCTAGACTCACAAATTGCTTAGGCTCAGCTTGAATTTAAAAGCAGCTTAGATAAATGATTAGATTCATCTTGTGTAATAACGAGCCAAAAATGAGTTGATCCTAAGCTGTTCGGTTTGTTTAGTAGTCCTATGTACATAGATTCAGTTTAAACACATGAATGAATTTTGTAGAAAAGTGTGCCTGCATTTGCATCTTTTTGTGTTGTGAATACGATTTTATACTGTAGCTAAGTTTGCTTATGACGAGACTCATTCTAATTCCAAGTATTGTAAAGCTTTGAACATTGCATTTTGCATTGACTTTTATAATTTTATTTATGAGTTTCTTTGGACCATGTCCTAATCCTTTTAAGCTCTCTATTTGCTCTTTGTAGCTTTAGATGGATAGATTACTATGCGTTTGTTAGGAAATTTATTACAATCGGAGAAATTTTGTGAATGTCTCAACTAAATCCATGGTTAAGAGGTAAATGAAAATTGAAGACCGAAGTAAGATATGGTGAATAAGGTCAAGTTACAAAGCAATATTATGAAGACTTTTGGATCCTATCAAGTTTGTGTGACCTACATACCTAGTTGCCCTAGTTTGGTTGTTGTTTAATTGTATTTAGAGTGTGAATAATTGATCTGTACATGACTCTTGTGATCTTGTTGTGAAAACGTTTTTGAAACTTTTAGGTTTTAGTTTTTGCAATTTTGTTTTTAAATAAGTCGTGACATGTAAGCTTTTTAGGTATCAACACGTTGAGAGTTGAAAAAAAGCCTTGGTTTTTAGAAGGGCGGTAGATTTTGGTCTAGTAATAAGTGTTCTCCGGCACTCGAGCAGTGCTTTGTGGACATACTTTTCTTGCACGCCAATTAACCTCTTATTTCTTATTCCTATAAATAGGTGACGAGTTCTCTAACCTAACAGATGTCCAAGAAGGCTAAAGAGAGGCTCTAGGGTGTAAGAGACTTTGATTTTAGAGAACTTGCCCTAGCTCAAATCAAAATCCAATCCCTATAAGATCAATATCTAATTCCATTAGAATTTGAACAATAATTGTTGACGATCTAGTGGATTAAGTTAAGTGGATAACGATCCCGAATTTTTTGTAGAGGTTTCTACGATAAAATTGTGTGTGTCATATGATTGCCAAGCTTTACATCTTGCAATTTTTCTACACATTCTATGTGCTTGATAAAATGCTTGTGAGAGTCCGCCTTGTGTTGTTGGCCATGCTAATTGCATAAATCTATTGTCAATTGGTGGAAAGAATTTTAGAGATAAGGTTGGTTGATTGTGTTGTGTTGGATTACATCTATTTGGCTTAATAAACATATTCACTAATTACATTATTAGTCAAATAATTTCTTTGTTAATTTGTAATTGAATGAGATAGGTTTTATTTGGGTATAATTCCACATTAGAGCACGTAAGACTTATTTATCCCCCTTCTAGGTCACATTTAAAACTTTGATTGCAAAACAAAGAGAGAATGAAAAGGAGAGTGAACTCTTTTGTCTCTTACTACATTGCATAGAAGATGCATAATGGGAACCTTTTACAGCAGGGCAAAACAATAAAGGAAAAGGTCTAGACTGACTTTAATACTAAAATTCTCTAACATTCTCCCACAAACTCATGATACCGTAGTATATAGTATCAGGAGTTTGTCAAGAAGAAAATGGAAGCACATAATTGTTTGAGACCTCGTGAAAAAGTCTACCAATTGTATAATAAAAAGAAGGAAGGGAGAGAAATACTGCCCAGATGAAGATGATGTCGTACAGAAAGACAGTCAATTTCAACATGCTTTGTACGCTCATGAAATACCAAATTGTGGGCAATCTGAATTGAACTTGTGTTGTCCAAATACATCGGAGTAGGAATAGACAACCATACCAAGATCAACAAGTAACCACTATATGCACCAGAGTAATTTCGTAAGCTTATTATGTTGTCAGCCCTACATTTTCCTGTAAAATCTGTCTATTTATACCCTGATCATTGGCAAGTTCTCACTCTCTCTCTCTCACACACCCACACACACAGCTGCATGCATGTTCATCTTCTTTGATTATGTGGAGTTGTATAATAATATTCTATCTACAGAAGCCTTTTCTGCTCTTAAAATAGCTGAGGAGAAGTTTTTGTCGGTGTCAAAGTCCCGAATCCTACTAGTAAAACTTCAGTTGCTCCATGAGCGTGCTTTACATAGGTAAGATTACGATCTGCAATGAATTTCCTTTGAAGGACTTTAGAAATCATCTATTTGTTTGTAAGTTTCATTCCTTTTTTTTTTTGTGTTTGATGCGTGCTGTTTATCTTGCAGGGGTAACTTGAAGTTAGCCCAACAATTATGTGATGAGCTTGGAGTTTTGGCATCATCTGTAATTGGCGTTGACATGGAGCTGAAGACACAGGCAAGCCTTCGCCATGCTCGGACATTGCTTGCTGCAAACCAATTTAGCCAGGTTGGATGGTTTCCATTTTCCTCTACTTCTTATGTATATAAAGTAGAAATACTAAACAAAATAACTGTGTAGAAGTTAAATTTATAAGGGTGGGGCTATTCTCACCCCACAAATATCCTTCCCCCACCTAGTCCACCTCATTCTATACCTATTTCATTAATAACTAAACCAACCCAATTAATATGTTATGTATTTCATGTCCATTCACTGTACACACCCCAATTGTAAACCATTTCCCATTCCCCATGTTTTTTCTCCGTATGGCATCTCACACATTCGAGACTAAAAAAAGCATCAATGGATTTCCCCTTCAGGTAGTAGCCCGTGAAAGAACCTAATTATTTCCCTGTTTGGTGACTCTCACAAATCTGGCTCTTGCCATTACATATTGATTCATCAGCATGGAAAAGTCGTGGCTGAGTGCCACTACTTCAAAGCAACAGGTCCATCAATGTTAAATTTGCTCCTAATGCGAATGGTGGATCACGGAACAATAGGAACTATGTATTGACTGGCAGAGCCAACCTCATTGAGATTTGCACTTTATGCTTGGTAAATGTTTTCCAAATAAAGAGAAGAATAAAATTTGCTTGGTCCAAGCTGAAAGAGTTGAAAATAATAGATGATATGAAAAGAAACCCTTGTAATGGTTGAGAATAGTTTATGATTATGATGCATAGTGTTAGGTTCTACAGGGAGGGTCCTCTGGTAAACTTCTTTTGGAGTTCTCCTTTTTGGCTCTGTTTAGGTCCGTTAGGCTTCTTTTTTCTTGTAATTCAAACCAAGGATATTTTGGTCAATTATGCATTTTACTCACATTGGCATGTTAGTGTAGCTCATATAAGGTTTGAGGGATAGATAACCAAAAGCCCAAGTCTGATCCTCAAGGTATAGAGCATAATACTGGTTCTGCAGATGCTAGTTGACTAGGGCCAGTCTACTAGCTAAACATTTCTAATCATATCTAACAAGCACTACACGCTTGTGAGTGCTTCCAAACACGATTCAAAGTACAATCCAAGTGTGCATTCAATTAAATGCACCAGACGTGATCAATTAAGCTCAATTAATCATTTCCTGGTATATTGAAGTCCATAAATAAGGATAATCATACCTGCACAATTCTTGTCAATTTAACATGCTTGGGATACTGATATCCAATATAGAACATGCAACATGATATATAGTGGTTTGGCTCACTCGGCTTATGTCTCTTCCACCACCTTGGTGGGATCACTCCACTAAATGTGATTTTTACAAACCCAGCAACTGTGTGGATTGCATGCAAGTCAATCCACTGACTCACCCTGAGTAGTCCTCCCAAGGCCCGATCCCAAGGATTTGGTGGGGGTTTAACTTTGGCTCTCCTACGATTGGAAACCAGTACCTACGACAAACACTCCACTGTTAATCACCACATGGACTGATAAGCTCCCCTGGAACTGTGCCTCTAAACGAAGTGTTCTACAAGGTGTCTGGCACGCAAATGTGAGTCTAAAACACAAAGGTGGAATTAGAAAACACCTACACAGTGACAACTTTGGCCAAAAATGTCTCCTTTAACGTCTGTCTTAGCTCTCTTGGGTAAGGGTAAAAATGTAATTTCAACCTCATTCTCTTTCCTAAATATTCAAGGAAGTATATGAGAGTGATGACCCCAAAACCATCAACCTTCGACTGATGAAGGTGGGTATTTATTGGGGTGAATGCAACAGCTAGCCCGTCTTGTTTTCAAAATCTGACCAACCTGGTTGATCAGCTTTGGGGTCAGTTGAGTGACCCTGGGCCTGGTCCTTGTCCCAAAAGCCAGTAACCTACTGCCAACTTCAAGGAAATGCCAAGTTGGTCCTAGGGAAGTGTGTCTAACATTCAAATGTGACCTAATTGACCTAGATACAACTTCCTATGTGCTTGAAGTCTTCTGGAAATGCCGAAGTTCGACTTGCTATGCTTGGTGGAATATTTTCTTTCTTCTTTGTTGTCGTCAGGAAGCTTCAAGTCCAAGGCTTGTATTTATAGCTCATGCAAGTGATGTTCGTCATGGCATAACCTGGAGTTACAATACAAGTCATGAAATTGCCAATCTATGATCCTAGATCTAACACATAGAAGGGTAGGAACAACATATTTATGGTCAGGTTAGTCCCAATGTGGTGGGTATAGAATGAGGCAACTTAACAGTTTTAAATTAGAGAATTTTATGGGGGTGGGAATAGTCGCACCTAATATGTAATGGTTTGTGATATTTCTTATACCATCTTTTAATATGTTAGATAATCTTTTCATGTCATATGACAAAAATGCGAATAAACATTCGTAGTAGAGTAGTGAAAGAAGTTTTAGAAACTAAATGATTTAATTTAAATCGAACTAAATCTGAATTTACGAATTGTTATTTTAGCAAAAGTAAAAAACGAAATGGGGTTGTAAAAATCGAAGGGCAAGGGATATCCGAGAGGGAACATTTTCTAGAATATTATTTTGTAGAAAGGAATATAAACTTAAAAATTCGTTATACGGTTTGACGCAATTCCCAAGAGTGCAAAGTTAAATTAATGAAATTGGTATTAGGGTTGGAGGAGAAAGAGAAAAGAGAGAATGTGAAAGACGAAGAGGAGAAGGATAATCAGTGTATCAATTGTCTTGCCCTACACCTTTTTATTTATAGTCTATGAAGCACGGATATGGGTACAATACGATACGGATACGGCAATACGATGAAGTCTAAATAAGTAGGATACGAGTACGGCCAGGATATAACTATAATAAAATATATTTAATATTTTTATTATTTTCAACCAACTTAACACTTATATATTTTGATAATTCTTTAACATATAATAAGAAAAATTAGTAATTTTTTTTAGTTTCAAGAAAGTATATATCGTGGCGTTTTGGTATATATTCACAAAGTGAAGTGACTAATTAAAGGAATCAAAATTAATATTTACCTAATATTTGAAAGTAATTTTTGCTAAGATTATAATGTAATACCTTTACTATATGGTCTTTTGATATGTAATTGTAGATAATATTTAAAAAACACTCGTGTGCCTTTGAAGTAATATGAAATTTTTGTTAATCTATTGTGCTAAGTTCGGAGAATTAACACAATATTAGAGAGAAACAGAGAAGGGTCAAAACTTAACTTACCTCTCATTCATCACTTGTATTTATAGTTACCTTACAATAATAAAAAAGACAGAATATACCCTCTTATATTTATACATAACACCCTAACACTCTTAACAATTTATACATACTACTCAAATACTCTTAACACTCCCCCTCAAGCTGGACTATATATATCATATACTCCAAGTTTGAAACAAATTACTGTAAGACGTGTACGACTCAATGCTTTGGTAAACATATCTGCAAGCTGATTTTCAGATTTCACAAATAGAGTCATAATCTCTCTAGCTACTATCTTGTCTCGAATAAAGTGACAATTAAGCTTAATATGTTTGGTTCTCTCGTGAAATATTGGATTGGCAGCGACATGGATAGCTATCTGATTCTCACAGAACAACTGTAACGGAAGTTGAATTGAAAACCCAATTTTCTGAAGGAAGTGTAGTAGCCAAGTCAACTCACTCGTCGTATGCGCTATTACTCTATACTCAGCCACAGCACTAGATCTTGCTACCATGGATTGTTTTTTGCTTTTCCATGAGACAACATTACCTCCTAAGAAAGTACAATAACCAGTGGTTGATCTCCGATTAGAAGGAGAGCCAATTCAATCAGCATCTGAGAAATTTTTTACTCTAAGATGTTCATTAGCTCGATATAATAGTCCAAGTCTAGGAGCACGTTTGAGATATCGTAGAATACGAATAACTACCTCCCAATGTGGTACTCTAGGACCACCCCGTGAACTGACTTACTATATTGACTGCATAGGAAATATTCGGTCAAGTAATAATGAGATAATTGAGCTTTCCAACCAATTTGCGATACTGATCCAGATTTTCAAACAGTGCACCATTATCCATCAAAAGTTTCTGATTCAGATCCATAGGAACATCAATAGGTCTGCCACCCAGTAAACCTGCTTCCTCAAGCATGTCAAGTACATATTTCCTCTAGGATAAACAAATACCCTGTTTAGATCGAGCCACCTCAATACTCAAGAAATACTTGAGTTTTTTCAAATTCTTAATATAAAATCGATCCTGTAAGAATATTTTTAACTTGACAATCCCCTCAGAATCATTTCTAGTAATCACAATATCATCTACATAGACCACCAATAGGACATATCCAACATCTGTCTGTCTATGAAACAAAGGATGATCTGTCTGACATCGAAGAAGACCAAACTCTAAAACTGCATCTGAAAACTTATCAGACCATGCCCTCGGTGACTGCTTCAAACCATACAAAGATTTCTTTAACTAACATACACTTTTACCATACTCTCCCTGAGCAGTAAACCCAGGTGGCTGCTCCATGTATACCTCTTCAACCAAGTCACCATGTAGGAAGATATTATTGACGTCTAACTGAAACAAGGGCCAATCAAGATTAACAGCTAAAGAAATCAAGATACAAACAGAGGAAATTTTGGCAACAAGAGAAAAAGTCTCCTCATAATCAACACCATAAGTCTGAGTAAAGCTCTTTGCAACAAATCGGGCTTTAAGATGCTTCACTGAATCATCTGGATGAAATTTAACAGTATACACCCAACGACAGCCAACAGTTCGTTTACCAGGAGGTAAAGGAACGAGATCTCAAGTCCTATTATGATGTAAGACATCCATCTCCTCTTCCATAGCTTTTCTCCAACCCGGATCAGATAATACATCTTGTAAATGCTTAGAAATGGATATAGCAGATAATTGGGAAGTAAAACAAAAGAATACAGGAGACAAGGAATCATATGAAACAAAATGAGAAATGAGATGATTAGCAACACATGAACGAGTACCTTTGCGAAAAGCAATAAGTAAAGAGTCTAAATTGCCTAATGTACCAGGATCAGAAGGCAAAAAGAAAGACGGTACAGGCACCTCAGTCGATGGGCGAGGACAACGAGAGTAGACACGGAGAGGTAAAGTAGATGG